TATGCAGAAAAATTTTCCACACCAAAGGAAGACTTCAGTCTAGCAGTTTTAATTCTGAGTCCTGAGTGGCAAGAAGAGGAGTAAGTGGGGTGGCCCATGTTTCATTGGTCACCCAAGCTGTTTTATGAGGTTTGGGGGTGCCAGTCTCTTTAACTACTTCAAGCTGACATAGCTTGACCATAAATGGAGGCAGGGCTTTTCTTTTGTCCCAATAGTCCGGTCCCAAACAAACATACAAAAACTTATATTAATGATACAAATGATCAGCCTATAGCTCAGACTTTCTACTAACTAGCTCTAACAACTAAATTAACCCATTTCTATTCATCTATATTTTGCCACATGGCTCATAGTTTTACCTGTCTAGCATCTTGCTTCCCCAATGGCTGCTTGCATCTCTTCTTTCTCTGTCTCTGCCCTTTTTCCTTTCTGTATTTTCAGTTTGGTATTCCTGCCTGGACTCATTCTGTCTTGCTATAAGCCAAAGCAGCTTCTTTATAAACCCATGAGAGTAAAACATATTTGTAACATACAAAAGGATTATGCCACAGCATTTCACCCTTTCTTTCTGCCTAATCAAAAAAGGAAAGCTTTAGCTTTAACATGGTAAAACTACATACAATGAAACAGTTATCAAGTACTAATTATAGTTACAATATCTAATCTATTTTATTTGACAAAATTAGAGAAAATATTTAATTATCTATCCTATCTTGGTGAGCTTAAACTTTTATATCTAATTTATCTTTTATCATAATTAAAAAATTGCAACTATAATAATCTAGTATTTAATTCCATCAAAGATTTGAGAAGGGAATAATATTACCTGAGTAAGCAGGAAATACAGGCAAGCAACTTCCAAAAAAAATGTGAGAAAGGACAGAAATAGCTGGCTTACTAGACAGGCAACCAAAGTTCCTCTGTAACATTGGGGCATTCATCTTTGTCCTACAGGTCTTGCATATCTGATAGACTTTCCTTTGAAGCAGGGAATTTTGTAGGACTGTTCTACCTTCTTTTAGCAAAGCTTGGTAATCACATTTCTTATGTCTTATTGGTTCAGTTTAGACAGTAGCTTTCAGCAATTCAGGCAAAGACAGTTTCTTTGCCCACATAGCTAGCATTTGCCATAAAGAAAATAAACCCTATATGGAATTTTTTGATGCCCTTTGTCTTCTCTGAAGTATATTGATGTTGCCAGTAAAAGACATATCTTACTATCAAAAAAGCCTGTTATTAATTATTAATTTGATAATTTGATTTTAAATATCATATTATTTAGGTCTTTGAAGTGTTTGAAGATTATCTATTTGAAATATATCTTTGTATATCTACAAAACCTAACAAAACTATAAGTTTGACTATTATAGATGACTAGCTGTATTTTTTGTAAATCTCTATTTCTTAATTATACATTACATTTTTAGTTGAGCTGTATAAACACAATACCTTTAAACAAGAGTAGAAATATACATATGGTATAACAACATTAATTTTAAATTTATATCAATAAACTAAAATCCCCACCAATAAAAAACATTTTGAGATTAACAGTTGTTTTTTAGATTCAAGTAGATTTAATAATCTATCCCTTTCCCCATCATTTCTGTATCATATTCCTCTTTCATCTTTTATAAAGACATTGACTGTGACCAGTAACGATTTTGTAACCAACACTTCTTAAATGACTGCTTTCGTTTCATTGAGGTTACCAGTTAAGATGGTGGCCAACCACATGGTTGCTTATATCCTGCTGAGGTCATTGGTCAAGATGGCAGCAAGTCACAAGGTTTTTATTTACTCAGAGGTGAACCTACCTCCCTGGTAAGGTAATCCCTTCCAGCATACCTCCTTTTTGTCTTCAAAAACATCTATTTTCCTAAACAAGTTACATGTATAGTATGCTACAGGAAATTAAGATTACTTACACATGGACTTTTAACTGTCAATTCCTTTTATGGTAGATTTTAATCTAGCCATTCTTACCGGAATTTTACAGACTTTTAAACCATGCACCCAAGGCTAATATAGATCCTGAGATAAATAAAATTTTCATTTCAGCAAAACCTTCAAAGATATCTATAACCGTCAACATTTTAGTGAACAAAACCAAGAAGGGGGGCTAGTATTGAGAGAACTAAAAAGATATATCCAGGTTTGGAGGGACAGAAACAAAGGCAGGCCAAAGGCAGGAATCCTATCTCCACTCAGGGATTATAAAGATACAAGTTTAGCGGCCTTGCAGAAGGGGCAGGCATTCTTGTCTGGGCAGAGTTACAAACCAGAACTGAGTAGTAGAGATGAGAAAGTTTAAAATGAACTGGGTGTTTTATGGGTGAGGGACCTCAGACCACTCTCACCATTCTGTTTTATAAAGTTATCGTAAATCAGTTTGCATATTAAAATCAAAAGTTCCAAATTCTGGGCAATGACTGTGATTGTTCTGTATATACTGAGGCCAGATATGCATAGAGAGACAAAAGAGAGTTTCTGGTTTCAGTTCTCCTAATTGCAGCTCCTTTTAGCCAGCAAACAAGCTAGGAGTGTCTTTTGGAACAGATAATTTTGACTCTACAATGGGTATGGAACCAAAGCAAAAACAGAGAGATCAATATCCTATTCAAAGTGCCCCCCAAGTTTTGTATTGAGCAAATGTGTCTGGAAAATAGGTTAGGTATACCCCCAGACCCTGTGATTCTTGAGTCAAGAAACTGCACTAAAAGCCCTGAAAGGTTTCAGGGTGTTCCACTGACAAGTGGCAGGTTAATAGAAAATTTCCGAGATTTTCTGCCAAATTTTCTCACAGTCAGTGGAAATTCCCCAGTGCCTTTGGCTGAGCAAATCTCAAGTCTAGACTGAGGGGGTTGGGGATCCCATGAGCTTTAAGACCTAACCTAATTCCATGAATTACTTTGTTCCGGCATTTTGGGGTATGCTGCAAATGTGTTCTTGTTGAATGGCACTTAGCTTCCCAGTCAGAAGGTCAGAGTGTGTCAGGGGAAGGCAGAGGAAAGAGAGAGAAGAAAGCACTGAGATGGTGGAGTGAGAAGAAGCAGTCACCTGATAGAAGCAGGCAGCCCTGCCAGGCCTACGGCAGGTAAGCCTAGGAGAGCAAGGGAGGTTGGTGCTGCCTTGGAGGGCTTGAGCAGCTGGTGGCCTCCAGTTTCCTGTCCGGAGTTTTGGCACCATGTGTTAGATCTCTGAGGTGGTTTAAATGAGATGGAAGGCAGAAAAAGAGAGGCATCTGACCTCAGACAGGTAGGGCTGTGTTCCCTGGCAGACAAGGCAAAGGAGCATAATTTCACCCACATGCACAGTTGAGAAGACTTGAGGATAAAAGATGGCTATCATCCTTTGGAGGGACAACAAGGTCTATGGCGTATTTTCTCCTATAGCCCTCCCCTTCTGAAGTTGCCTCAGCTAGCTGCACAGGAAGCAGGGAGGGGTAGAGTTTTAGCAGGAAACCATCATCACATAAACAACTTAGTGTATGGGTGGCTAGAGCACAGGTTCTCAACTTGTGGGTCATACCCTCACAGGGCCATATATTAGATATTTACATTGCAATTCATAAGAGGAGCAAACTTGCAGTTGTGAAGTAGTAATGAAATAATTTTATGGATGGAGGTCACCACAGCATGGACAACTGTATTACATCATCACAGCATTAGGAAGGTTGAGAACTACTGTTCTAAACAATTCCATTCTCTACCCATTGACCTGTGTAGCTTGAATCTCATCCTGAGTAAGAACAGTTACAGCCGTATATTTCCCCCCACCATCTATGCGGTTACTTTCCTTTACCATTGACTGGCGAATGAGAAATTGACATATGAAGGATTTAATTTTCAGTTCTTTATATTCACACAAGGCTTCCTGTTTCAAGAAGCTATTTCTGTTTCTATTGTACCTCTCTACTCTTGTTCTTCTCATAGGCTGGAGAACTTTGTATTTTATATTTACTCATTTGTTCAGAAAATATTTTCCACACTCTGCCCAGTGGTAGGCTTTTTTTGTCATGGAGGTGATGCTGTACTAAGAAAAATATAATCCATGCTTTGTACAGCCCAAGGCACTGCATTTCCCACCATGCACTGTAATTATCGGCATCCTCTCTCCCTTATCTAATTTGAGTCTCTAGTGAAATGTGTGGTACCTAATTAAACTTTGATTCTGTATCTCAGTACGTAGTGGCATATGATAGATGGCCACTCATGGGTACTTAGTATTTATACTTAGTATTTACACAGGTCAATTATTATTAGAGTGAGATCCGGAAGTGAGGGCCAGTGATTATAGAGTACTAGTCCATGACATGGACACAAGTTAATATTCTGTGAGTTGGTGTTTGTTTCATTTTAGTTTTGACCAGTTCTCACCAAATATAGGAGAGTTTACATAATGATCTAGACTCTAAGCCTCTCTGGGAAAAGTCCACATTCCTGAGGCTTCCAGGCCACCTGCTAATCTCACCACCCACTCTCCACTTCCCATTGCGTCACAGTGAGGTTTGAAGGGTGTGTGGGGTAAGAGGGTGAAGTTCTCTACATTCTGCATGAGTCCACTGAAAATGTCTTGGTGAGTTTGTTGCAACCAAATCAGCAAAGGAACAACAACTTAATCTTTTTTTCTCTTAGTGGTAAAGAATGCTAACTGACACTTGCTTACATGTAAGCTCTATAGCATGTTGAACCTGAGTTGTTTTTCTGCATTTCACAGTAAATGGTTAATTGCTAGCTACATTCTACTGTGATGTACATCTCTGGTTCCAGGAACATTGTATCTTTATCTGTGTGTCTCCGGAATTCTTACTTCCTTAGGAACTCCTTTTGTTTGTCTTGGTTTTTTTTTTTCAATTTTTATAACCAATTTTTTTATTTATTTATTTATTAAAGATTTCTGTCTCTTCCCCACCGCTGCCTCATGAGACTAGGACACTTAAAAACAATTGAGTTAAAAGCTATAATTTACAAACTAATCATGTCCTTGTTTTGTTTCAGCTATCCTTAAAAAGAAGAGGAAGTAAAGATTTGCCAAAATCTGAAAAAAAGGCTCAACAGACACCCACAGAGGTATGTCAAAATAAAAATCTAAAGCACCTATCAAGCACCTCCAAATGTACATGTCAATCCGGGCGGTGGTGGCGCACGCCTTTAATCCCAGCACTCGGGAGGCAGAGGCAGGCGGATCTCTGTGAGTTCGAGACCAGCCTGGTCTACAAGAGCTAGTTCCAGGACAGGCTCCAAAACCACAGAGAAACCCTGTCTCGAAAAACAAAAACAAACAAACAAACAAACAAACAAACAAATGTACATGTCAATAAGCTAAAAACCACTGGAACTAGCGTGTAATGGATGAAAGGTAAACTAGTATTAATGCAGTCTAAGGCTCTAGATCAAATTTGATTTTTCTACTAGTTAAACATTGAAAAGGCAAGAAAAATCTTGGCAGTAGAGGAGTCTCAAACACCACAAACAGAAAAATCAGCTAAAGGAAGGTACTTACTGGAGGATTGAGAGAACACATGCATGCAGCAGATGCACAGGGAAAAAGAGCCTCTGCAAAGCAGAGACAGAAGCTGAAAAATCCAACTTTTTCTTGGGGCCTGGAGTTTTAAAGTCTTTGAAGCAATTTTCTCTCCTGATTTTAGGGTGTTGATCAGCCCACAACTGTTGCATAATATGTCCTGATCTAGCCTATGACCTTTTTGAGGCAGTCCATTGGACGGCAAAAAAAACAACAATGACTTTGTTTTAAGCATTAAGACTTTTGTTTCCAGTCAGGAGACTGAGGAAAAATCCAGCCATGGTGAAAATTTCACCACCTTTATTTCATATCATGCCTGCCCCCAATATGTCTGCCAGAGAGTCCATCTAACTCCTAGTGTATTAATATCACATAATGTTTCTCATATGTGGAACACTGGTTTAATTTAATTGCATAAACATGTGACGTGAGAGCAAAAGTCAAACTATTTGGAGAGGAAGGTAGCCAGTGAGTAGGAGAAATGGAGAGGAGAGGGGATTATGGGATCAACTATGGTCAAAAAACAATGATATAGCTAGGTGGTGGTGGCGCACACTTTTAATCCCAGCACTCGGGAGGCAGAGGCAGGTGGATCTCTGTGAGTTTGAGTCCATCCTGATCTATAAGAGCTAGTTCCAGGACAGGCTCCAAAGCTATAGAAACAGTCTGTCTAGAAAAACAAAAACAAAAAACTGCAATGATATATATGTATGAAAATGTGTTAATGAAACTCAATATTCTGCACCCTAACTAAAAAATACTTTGGAAAAATCATTAGAAATACATTATAATAAAAACTGGGTCTTATACTAGTGTGGGCTAATGTGTGTGTTAGATTTTAAAATAGAAAAGTAAATATATATTTGAGACAGAAGTGACATTATGATGTTCTCCAAACACTTAGCAAGATACTAGCTTCAAGTGTGCAAGTTTTAAAATACAGATGCATACATTTTAATAATTATTATTAAAAGCTTTCTCTCTAGGTAGCTTTAAGCAAAGTGATGATGCCTTCATAGTCAAAATTTGATATATTAGCTAAATCCTTTAAACTAAAGCATTTTAAAATATACATTGTTTTCCCTTTTGCTCTCTCATTCCACACTGTTTTTGGTCAGTTTTCTTCCTGTTACTTTCTAGGATCTCAGAGGTTCATTCTGAGATAGTAAAACCCTGTTCTCTGTCCGTAAGCTTTGTCTCTGCCTCATTTTTAGCCTCCTCACTCCAAATTATCTGTGGTGGATCATTTCACATGATGACAGGAGCCCTCTTCCTTCCCATCTTCAGTGATTAGATTTAGTGATTAATTTCAGTGATTAATTTTAGTGATTAGATTCAGTGATTAGATTTAGTGATTAATTTCCCATCCTGAAATTACTTGTTAGCTTTAACCAGTAATTTATCTTTCAAACCTTGCTTTTCAATATTACATTTACTATGTTAAAGTGGATTCATTTTCTCAGGAATCCCCACCTTTGTTCCTGGTTGAATAGAGCTCCTCTTTCAGGAGCATGCTGGAATCTTCCTGCAAAACACATCATAGCTTCCACCACTTTCTTAGGGCGTCCTGGTACCTTACAAAAGTCAAGATGCCTCGTAGTCCACAATCTTCTGATTTCTGGATATTAACTTCCTGGGAAGTATGTAAGTGTAGTGCTGTGGTATTGCTGATGATGCTAGCATTCCTAACACACTGATTCTCAGACTATGATGTATTAAGTCTTTAAAACCCATCTTAGGAAGCTGATTGGGTGGAAACTGCCAGTAAAAAACTATTCCAGTTTTGTAAAATTATAAGATGATTTGGTTTTGAGATAGGTTGAAGACTATTGATCCACATACTTATGCTACTGTAAGCATCCCATTCTTGTATCATAATTCTTGTTATGAATTTACCTGTCCTATTTGGGGCATTTTTGTAAACATGTGCCATGCTCTTTGAAGAATCTATTTGTAGTGCCCAATACTTGGCATGCTCAGCACATACTTTCAAATAGTGTTACTTTATTTTATAAATTGGTAGAAATTGTCAGCATACTGTTATTTCAGTCTACAGTCAAGGCAATGTCATCTGGCCTAAACGACTATGATCTATATAAATGTTGTATATAATTTTGTGAAATTACTTTATGTTTTTTTGATGTATTACTTGTACCTTCCCTTGGTAACAGACTGGCTTTATTCACTAAGAAATAATGTTAAGGGGAAATTCAAAGCAGTCACTTTCAAGTCAGATTATCTATATAGAAACCTTTGTTGCATGCTGTCTACATGACCTTTGATAAGCTACTCATTCTTTCTGGGGCTCTGCGTGTGTGTGTGTGTGTGTGTGTGTGTGTGTGTGTGTGTGTGTGTGTGTGTACATATGCCAGATCTTAGTTGACAGTGACTGAGTCCTTAAAATGCATATTAGCTTCCATAATTAACTTTTCAGATTAAAACCAGGCTCAACCTGCATCTTGCTAGCCATTTGTTGTCTTCATGTTTCCTTTCTCATATTGTCCTAATCTTCCTGTGAGTGAGACTTTAACATGCTTTAACATGGACAGAAATCCCAACTTGTTTCCCACCTCAAAGAATTGTGAGTTTTCTTGTTTCCTTTTTACATAGAAAAGTGGAGTATATATTTTACTACTTGATTATTTTGGGCAGAGTGAATGTCTGTGAACTATTTTTTTTTTCAATAATTGCCTATGGTGCTTCTATGCCCAGATTTAATGTATTTTTAATCTCCTTTATTTTCTTAAAATAATCTTCTAAAAAAATTTAAAACAATTTACATACCAATCCAAATTCCCTCTCCCTCCCTCTTCTCCCATTTCCCCCACATTCCACCTCCATCCACTCCTCAGTGAGCATGAGGCCTCCCACGGGGAGTCAAAAAAAAATCTGTTACATCTCTTGAGGCAGGACCAAAGCCCCCACCCCCCATAGACTGAACAAGGTATCCCACCATAGGTAATAGGTTCTAAGAAGCCAGCTCATGCAGAAGACTGTGTGTCTACCCCTAAATAAAGAAACCTTTATTATTCTCCATTCTGAGCTAGTGTGTGACTATTTTATTATAAACTACAACAGACAGGCACTTAACGTGGAGTGTCTGTGGTAGATTATAATAAAATAGTCTGGCATCTGTGGTCTCTTAATGTCTGCAGAATGTCTACTCAGGACCTTCTGGCTTCCATGGTTTTTATTGAGAAGTCAGGTATAATTTTAATAGGTCTGCCTTTATATGTTACTTGGCTTTTTTCCTTAATATTCCTTCTTTATTCTGTCTGTTTAATGTCTTGATTATTATGTGACAAAGGGACGTTGTCTTCATCCAGTCTATTCGGTGTTCTGTAAGTTTCTTGTACATTCATAGGCGTATTCTTCTTTAGGTTGGAAAGTTTTTATCTACAATTTTGTTAAATATTTTTTGTGCTGGACTTCTTTTTCTTTTCCATCCTTATTATTCTTGGATTTGGTCTTCTCATGGTATCCTGGATTTTCTGAATATGTTGTGTTAATAATTTTTTGGATTTTACTTTTTCTTTGACCGATAAATCTATTTTCTCCATCTTATCTTCAACAGTTGAGATTCTTTCTTCCATCGCTTGTATTATGTTGGTTATGCTTGCATTTGTAGTTCCTGATCATTTACCCAGATTTTCCATTTCCAGAATTCCCTCGGTTTGTGTTTTCTTCCTTCCTTCCTTCCTTCCTTCCTTCCTTCCTTCCTTCCTTCCTTCCTTCCTTTCTATTCCATTGTTTATTGTACATAATAAATGAAGGCTGTCATAGTACATAATTTTAACTATGCTGTATAATTTTAAAACTCAAGTTTTAACCTGAATGAAAACTAAGTCATTCTTATATATGTCGATCATAGTGTCTTCTGTATTTGTATTTTATTTTTTTTATTTTAAAATAATATTTTCTCATTTTACATACCAATCCCAGTTCCCACTCCCTCCCCTGCTCCCACCACCCCCACATTCCTCCTACCTCATCCACTCCTGAGAGAGGGTAAGCCTTCCCATGGGGAGTTAGCAAAGTTGGCACATCATTTTGAGACAGGACCAAGACCCTCCCCTCTATATTTAGGCTGAGCAAAGTATCCCTCCAAAGAGAATGGGCTTCAAAAATCCAGTTCAAACATGAGAGATAAGTTCTGGTCACACTGCCAGTGACCCCCCCCCGAGATTACCCCTTTGACACATTTCACCCACATTCAGAGGGCCTAGTTTGATCCTCTACAAGTTTACCTGCTGGCAGTCCAGAGTCAGTGAGCTCCCACTAGCTTAGGCCATCTGTTTCTGTGGTCTTGAACTTTTTAATCATACAATTGCTTTTCCCTCTCTATGATGGGATTTCAGGAAGTTGGCCTAGTGCTTAACTATGTATAGTTTGTGTTTTCTTTATTGCCTCTATTTCAGTTTTCAAGTCTTGAACCATTTTCTTTACCTGTATGATTGGTTTTCTTGACTTTTTTTTAAAGGGATTTATTAATTTTTATTGATTTCTTCCAATTTTTTGTTTTCTTTTCCTCCACTTCTTTAAAGGAATTTTTCATTTCCTCTTTAAGGGCCTTTATCATCTTCATAAAGTTATTTTTAAGGTCATTTTCTTCATCTGCATTAGGATATTCAGGCCTTGCTAGTGTAGAATCATACTAGTTTCTGGTGGCACTGTATTACTCTTTATGTTGTTGAATGTCTTTCTTTCTTTCTTTCTTTCTTTCTTTCTTTCTTTCTTTCTTTCTTTCAGACAGGGTTTCTCTGTGTCATAACCCTAACTGTCTTAGAACTAGCTCTTGTAGACCAGGCTGGTCTCGAACTCACAGAGATCCACCTACCTCTGCCTTCCAAGTGCTGGGATTAAAGGCATGTGCCACCACTGCCCAGCGGTTAAATATATTCTTACAAGGTTGTCTACCCATCTCTTCCTCCAATGGGTTCAAGTGGTGTCTGTGATTCAGGGGGTCCCTCTTCTTCCAATTGGTACAGGTGAGGCCTGTGGGTTAGGTGGTTGCTCTTCCTCCAAGTGAAGACAGGGCTATGCCTCTGGTGGTGTCTGATATCACTCTGGGGCTCCTCTAGGTGTAGGTAGGTCCAAGGCTGGTGGTTGGTTCTGAAGGTGTAGGTAGGACCAAGGCTCTTGTGGTCACAGATGCAGTGGAGGTTAGTTTGGAGGAGTGAAAAGGCTACACCCAGGTCTCTGAGGCTTTGGTGGGTTGGGGTAGGGCACAGGATGGGGGCAGGCCTCCATCTGGGAACCCAGAAACTCACCTCTCCTGGTGGAGTCAGGTTCAAGGCTCTGGTCTCTAAATTTCTCCTGTTTCACTAGGAATACTAGAGAGGGAAGCAGTTCTAAATGCCCAGTTCTAAATGCAGTCCATAAGTAGGTTATAAGATAAGAGACAGAAAGCAATTTGGCACTCAGAGTTCTTAAACTCTCAGAGTTGCATAAGTTAGTACCCTTTGCATCTTGAAAAGACTTAGCCTCTAATAAGTAAATGAATTTTTGTGTGTTCCTCCTCTTACTACATCTCCTTTAACATGACTTAGTCACATGTAGGATATTTCCAAGTCTTAAATATGCTTTATTCCTTTGGATGGGAGAGCAGATGTGCATACAAATCAGACATGCTTCTATCTTTGGTTTGCGTGACACAACACAGTGCAGAATTGTTCTGCTCAGCTATGTGGTTTGTATCACACCCACTGTTGTACTAATTAAATTAAAACCATGCCATATGTCAATAGAAGAAAGGTCTTGCTGTGAAAGAAAATAAAGTTTTCTACCATAGAGGTGACTCTACCCAGCTATTGAGTCTCACCTAAGTACACTTTCCAGTAAAACTAGTCTATGTGAAAGCACATTTGTTATTGACTAGCCAGAAATCCTCTCTCATCATTGGACTGCTATGTGCTTCTGCTTCTCTCTCCTCTTGTGGAACGGATTCCCCCATGGAAGCTTTCTGTGATGTATCTTTTTAGCATCCACTCTGTGCCTGCTTCCCCTCAGCTATCTGTGCTCATACATGGCTTCTCAAGGAAAACAGAGGGCAGCACATCCTATTTCTTCAACTTTATCCTACTGCCCTACTTTCCTTATTTGCACTTCTGTTCTAGAAACAGCTCAAATAATATCACTTTTGCAATCAGCCTGAATATAGATTCTGCTCTGCCCCCTCCTCACCTGTGCTCTGCCATGATAAGCCTTCTCATCTGTGAAGAGGTGAAAGTTTCAGCTGCTCTGATGGCTGGCGTGAGACCAGGTAGGCAGAAGGAATGCAGTCTTCAATATCTGTATCACTACTAGCTCTCCAACCCTTCCTCCTCTCGTTAGTTGTTAGGAGGGAAAAGATCTGTACCCTTTCACCATTGCTTCTGGAACTTCTCTAACAGAAGTCCATCTTCCCTAGTTCTTTATCAGACTGTCTCTCAGACATCAATTCTCAAAAGTCTAAATAAAGAAGGGTGTTGCAATATGAGCGGCGGGGCTGCGTCCCCAGCACCCCAGCCGCCTGCTAGCTTATGCCCCGAAATAACAACACACAAACTGTATTCATTTAAGCACTGCTTGGCCCATTATTTTCAGCCTCTTAACCCATTTCTATTAATCTATGTAGCACTGCTAAGTATGCTTACCGGGAAGATTCTAGCCTACGTCCATCCTGAGTCAGAGCTTCATCACGTGTCTGGCTCTGAGAGGAGCTATCACGTCTGCCCGGGAGAGAGGAGCATGGCGTCTCTGAGCTCACTTCCTCTTTCTCCCAGCATTCGGTTCTGTTTACTCCTCCCACCTATGTTTTAACCTATCAGGGCCAAGCAGTTTCTTTATTGCTTGACCAATGAAATCAACAGATTGATATATGACACTCCCACATCAGAAGGGGTGTTTAATTCAACCTTTAAAAGAAGGATTAAGGATGCTGCTTGTTGGCAGAATGCTGGCATAGTATTGCCAGGTCGTGGGATCCATCTATCTATCTATCTATCTATCTATCTATCTATCTATCTATCTATCTATCATCTATCTATCTATCATCTATCTATCTATCTATCATCTTTCTTTCTGCTATCTGCCTATCTTCTAGTCTATCTGTTCATCTAAATAAGGAAATCAAAGTGAATTTTGAGAAATGATCTTTGGAAGAAATGTTCTTGAACATTGTATTGGTTACTTTTCTATTGCTGTGATAAAATACCATGACCAAGGCACCTTGTACAGGAAAGACTTTAACTGAGCTTTCAATTTTAGAAGATTAGAGTTCATGATAGCAGGGCAATGGCATGACATCAGGAATAGCTGTGACCTCACATCTTGATCCACAAACAGAAGGCAGAGAAAGTACACTTGTCATGACCTAAGACTTCTGAAACTCCAAAGCTAGGTCTTAGTAACACTGCCCTTCTAGCAAGGCTCCACAACTTCATCCTTCCCAAATAGTTCTACCCCTGTTGATGAAGTGTTCAGACTTGTGAGCCTATGGGCCCATTTTTCAAATCAGTACAGACATAACTTTTACAAAAGTTCTTAAAAGAGATTTCTATTTCTTTTCTAGTACTTCAGTTTAGTTGATGATTAGGCTTCTGAGGCCTGAGTAAGAACGTGTGAGAGAGTTGTCACCAGATCTACTACTACCCCACAGACAGAATCAGTTCTACGCATTTTAGCAGATGGCAGAACAACTTATTTCAAAAATCCATGCAAATAGACTGCTTGCCAGTTTCACTTTGCATAGCTCATTCTAGTGTAAGACATCCCCTTCTTCATGGGCTTTGAAACAATTTTCCTTCAAATAACGGTCGATGGAAGTTTGTTCCCTGACAATGCTCGGGAGCCATAGCTCCAGCGAGAAGTGAAGTCATATACCATTTCTTCTTCTTCTTCTTTTATTTTTTTGTAAAGAGCCAAAGAGCATCTGGTTCACACTCATGCTCAGGAATTGGCGCTGAGTGAGTGCAAAGTAACTACATGTTTCTTAGGGCAAATGGGTTTTATACTTATGGCATTTTGGGGGGAGCTCAAAATGAAAAGAGCACTGATGAGAGGACCATGAAATGTTTGGTAATTTAGGACGTATCATTATCATTCATGAATAGTGGTGACCAAATTTTTCCACTTTTCTTATCCTCTTTTCTTTTGGTTTCCAAAACAAGCTACCTTATTTTTTAATTGGGCAAAGAATGTAAGTGATGTGGAGGAAAAATCACACCTCTCTTTGTGACGTTAAGTGGTAATTGCAAGGAAAAGAAATTATTTTTGCAGATGTCGTCTCCTGGTTGTTTTCTCCACTTGCATAGAAATGACCTCCTGTCCTTTCCCCACTTTTCCCCTAATGAGGAGGACAATGAGGATCTGAAGTGCCAGTTGCAGTTCGTTAAGGAAGAAGCTGCCCTGATGAGAAAGAAAATGGCCAAGATTGATAAAGAAAAAGACCGATTTGAGCACGAACTCCAAAAGTACAGATCTTTCTATGGGGACCTGGACAGCCCTCTCCCCAAAGGAGAAGCTGGGGGACCTCCAAGCACGAGGGAGGCGGAGCTCAAGCTGCGGCTGCGGCTGGTGGAGGAAGAGGCTAACATCCTGGGCAGGAAAATAGTAGAACTCGAGGTGGAGAACCGTGGCCTGAAGGCGGAACTGGACGACCTGCGGGGCGACGACTTCAATGGCTCCGCCAACCCCCTCATGAGGGAGCAAAGCGAGTCCTTGTCAGAGCTGCGGCAGCACCTGCAGCTGGTGGAAGACGAGACCGAGTTGCTGCGGAGGAACGTGGCCGACCTGGAGGAGCAGAACAAACGTATCACTGCGGAGCTCAACAAGTACAAGTACAAGTCCAGCGGCCATGACAGCTCGAGGCACCACGACAGCGCCAAGACCGAGGCCCTGCAGGAGGAGCTGAAGGCAGCGCGCCTGCAGATCAATGAGCTGAGCGGCAAGGTCATGCAGCTGCAGTACGAGAACCGCGTGCTTATGTCCAACATGCAGCGCTACGACCTGGCCTCACACCTGGGTATCCGTGGAAGCCCCCGCGACAGTGATGCAGAGAGCGATGCGGGCAAGAAGGAGAGCGACGATGACTCCCGACCACCCCATCGTAAGCGAGAAGGGCCTATTGGTGGCGAGAGCGACTCCGAGGAAGTGCGGAACATCCGCTCGCTCACGCCCACCCGCTCCTTCTACCCCACACCCGGTCCCTGGCCCAAGAGCTTCTCGGATCGACAGCAGATGAAGGACATCCGCTCCGAGGCCGAGCGCCTGGGAAAGACCATCGATCGGCTCATCGCAGACACAAGCACCATCATCACTGAGGCGCGCATCTACGTGGCCAACGGGGACCTATTCGGACTGATGGACGAGGAGGACGACGGCAGCCGCATCCGGGAGCACGAACTGCTCTACCGCATCAACGCTCAGATGAAGGCTTTCCGCAAGGAGCTGCAGACCTTCATCGACCGCCTGGAGGTGCCCAAGTCTGCGGATGACCGCGGCGCCGAGGAGCCCATATCCGTGAGTCAGGTACAGTTCTGCCTTTTGCGAGCCATGGCGATGGCGAGGCTGGCCTGTGGAGCTGCAGTCCCTCGTGGGGCATCTCCAACTCCGACTTCCACATCTCACCATAGGGAAGTTCCATCTCATAGCCTTGCTGGGCTTTGAAACCCAGAAAGGCACCTCTATTTTCACACTGTGTTCCACCAGGAAGAGGGTCCCAAGAACCAATAGATCATTAACTATTATTCTTTCCTGTTTTATTTGAAGGGGATATTCAACACTGACACAATCAGGTTTTGTGTGATGACTTACAGGTTTTTAATGCATATTATCAGTTTAAAAGGTCAACATTTTTCAGTATTTCCCTAACATAAAGGTCCTCAATATTTGAAGTTTGTGAGCAAGGTCCAAATTGAGTTTAAGATTTAAAAAAATGGCTAAATAAACCGGGGGAAGTGTTGAACACCTTAAATCTCAGGACTTGAGTGAAGAAGAAGCTGGTGGATCTCTGTGACTCTAAGCCCACAGGGCTGATAGTGAGATCCTGTCTAAAAAAAAATTTTTTTTTTCTGATTAAACAAAACTAATGGATACCCCTGATACATGTACAAATTGGTAGTAAGGAGACACGATCTTGTTTGTGCCCAGAGCTCTATGGATGAGACACGTACTAGTTATCCCCTTATCTAAATTGAAGTAACACCGTGCTTATTTCTAGTTGAATATCATCAGTTCAATAGTGGAGATCCCACAGCGAGAAGTTTGCAACATAGCTTTAAGGCAATACTAATTCAAAGAAATAATAATAAGTATTCCAGCACAGGGGAAAGCAGCATTTCCCTCCTGGCTTGTAGAGGCTTACCGGATGAATGGGACCCAGCAGCCTTTGGCCAGGTATGGTGGCCACTGAAAGATCAATGCATTTTGTTCACGTTTACCACATAAAAGATGTCTATGGATCCAAGCAGGCAGTACCGTCCCTTGCAGCAGCCTGATGTCCTATATCCATTGGAGAACCCACCGAAGTACAACAGCATGCATGGCTTTGAACACACTCAAGACACTGATATTTAAAACCCAGTTTCTGCGCAGCAGCATGTTAGTAGATGACTTGCCTGGTGACCACAGCTAGAGAACTTGCAGCCCACCCGCTTACCTTGCATGCTGCTATGCTTTGCTGCGGGGGGAGTGGAGGTGGGGGTGGGGGGTGGGGGCGAGGGGATTATAATGGAATCTATTGGCTTTCAGAATGTTAAGCGTTACTCTCTCTATTTAGTATGTTTTGTTATAGCTTTGGTTTTCATTTGGCAGGTTTTTTAATACCAAGCATGTGGTGTTATCAGCTACACTGTGGGGAGGGAGGAAATAGAAATATGTATCAGAAGGAGAGAAAGTGCTGTTTATAATAAAGTATTTTAAGAACTTGAAGATATAGGACTAATGGGGGAGTATCTTTATTTTTAGGTCGAGTCAGTGCTTTGATAAGTTTGATAAGGTTTAAAACGATTATTAATTAGCTCTTCTCCTTGTCTCCACATTTGCCTTCCCAGATGTTCCAGCCCATCATTTTACTTATTCTCATCCTTGTATTATTTTCATCACTTTCTTACACAACAATATTTAAACTTGTCTTCCTTTTCACACTGTTTTTTGTACTGTAAATCTTTCCCCATTTATCATTCGTTGTCGTGTTTTCAGTTGTTTTATTTTGTCCACTCTTCAAGACAAGACATACAAGAAGTATCATTTCTGTAGTAACCGATGCTGTAAAAACACTGAAGACTGCATATCTCTGTAAAAAGCCACAACTCATCTTACACTGTCAAATTCAATAGAACACCCCAGCGACCAAAAGATTTCAGGTAAGGAAAGGGAAGTGTTGCGGATTTTTGTGTAAATCATTTTCTCTTTCTTTTATATATTCTCTTTGTTCTTTTAATTCATAATTGACAGGCTAACTCTAAAAAAATGGGCTGTCTATAATTAATTCCTAGGAACTGAGTATTAATTCAAACCTGTAAATGTTTAAGTTGGTCACATTTTCAAAAATCATGGAGTCATTAAGTATAAGTAAATGTAGGTGTTTTATACATGATCTGATAAATATTATATGGATCTATGAGTGCAATGTTGTTTGTGTTAGCCAAAAAGAAAATGTCTTTGTCCAATAAATATCTGTAAAAACAATATGGTAAATGGTGAACTGTAGCTCTCTTGGTAAGTAAATAATATGTTTGGATACTGTCACGTTTTGTCTTCAGAGACGTGTTTGGAAGCATGAGTGAAACTGATCTTTTAGTTTAATAAGTAACTAAATAGCCACCCCCATTCAATTTATCCTGCTTTCCTTTAAATTAGCTATGTCTCCATGAAGATACTGCTGACTTTGGTGCTGGGAGTCCTTTCTTCTATGACAAACTGTCTCCACAGCAGAAAATATGCTAGCAACATGGCATGAGGGACAGCTTAAGAAGGGAAATAAATACAGTGTCTAGAATTTTCTTGAGTTACAATCTTAACCCAGAAGCATAGTTCCAGCGGAGCTACTCTGTAAACTTTACTGTAAAGCATACTGTAGTGAACCCTAGCATTCCTGTCTTGCTGTCTATACATAAGGTCGCCTGGATGGACTCTGTGTACCAAAGATTCTACACTGCCCATCTTGTTGGTAGTTTACACACCGGAATCCTGAAATACCTAGAAATTCCAGCATTCCACACAAGGTGATATGTTCTTGTGACATCAATACTGCAGAAGCTAAGAAAAATGGATTGTGAGTTCAAGGTCAGCCTGTGCTATCTAGCCAGACCTCAAGAAAAAAAAAGAATAAGAAAAATCATATATTCTTCTCAGTTCACATATTGGTCAGTGGATGTGGAAATCTGTGATACAAGTGAAGTATCTTGACCACAAGAAAAAGATACAAGTGGAAAGTTTGGCAGTTAAAGATGTATATGTTGGCCTTTGGCATTCCAAGGACTTCATCTGCAGAAGAGGGTTTTCCCTCACCCCTACAGCTCCATTTCCCCTTAAATATTAGCTTTGGGAATTTTTTGCTAGGCTTCAGTTGGTAAGAAAATTTGCTACAAAAATATAAGAACTCCAGTTCAATTCCCCAGAGCCCACATGAAGTAATGAAGTGTTGGAAGAGCACATTCGCTATCTTCCTCTGGCCTCTACGTGTGCATGTAACTGCATACTCACATTCATCCAGTACCTACACATGCCACTACTACCACACACACACTACAATACATACACACAACATTCCCCTCTGAACTCCATAAATACAAGTAACTGCACACTCTCATGCATGCAGTTCCTGCATACACCACATACCACATGCACACATGCACACACACATACACACTCACACACACTACACATACATGCACACGACATTTCCCTCTGAACTCCATAAGTACAAGTACCTGCACACTCTCATGCATACAGTACCTGTACACCCACCACAGATGCACACCATATCCACAACACACTACACATGCTTAAATTTAGAAAAATTTACAGTAGTCAAAAAGTTTCATTTAACTGATGTTAATGTCTATTGTCCTTGCTTGGGATTCTTTTTTTTTTTTTTTTGTACTTTGTTTTGTTATAATTGTTTCTGAAGAAGGGGAAAAGGCATGTCTGACGAATGGCTTACTAGCAGTTGGAATCAGATTTTGTTTGATTGGGTGTTTTCCCATTGGTTTTTCAGTGTTAGTAGTGGAACCCAGAGTCCTATCTGGCAGACAAATGCCCTACCATAGAAATATATGTCCAACCACATTTGGCTTTTAATCTTGAAATTCAGATTTCAAGTTTTGGGTAGGCTTTCATGAGAAAGAATAAAGAAAGGAGAAAAATTCTATGCTTGGTCAAATTGGTGGCACAAGCCTGCAGTCATAGCAGTTGGGAGATGGAGGTACAGGCAATAGCAAATTTGAAGTTTGCTTGGTTTATACTTTGTGAGTCTGACTAAAAATGTATGGCAACACACCCCTCAAAAATCCAAAATGCCTGCTAAATTTTTGATAATTTTCTGAGCTTCAACCTCAATAAAACTGAACATAAATGTTTAAGTGTTGAAATTGAAATGTGTCTGAAATGTCTATGGCACTTGGAGCTTGAGACCCCATAGCCAAGCAGGGGTTCTTAGCGAATTGTGGAGCCTCTGGAAATGCATGAGAGTGCTTCAAGATGTCCCAATGACTGAGAAGTTCTCTACAATGCGTACCACTTTTAAAAGATGGGGATAGATCTAGAGGTGGGGTATGCCTTTAACCCCATCACTTGGGAGGCAGAGGCAGGTGGATCTCTGTGAGTACGAGGCCAGCCTGGTCTGCAAAGTGAGTTCTAGGATAGCCAGAGCTATCTAGAGAAACCCTGTCTCAGAAGAAAAGAAAAAAAGAAAAAAAAAAGATGAGACTGAGACTGGTGAAAAGGCTCAAAGCACTCAGTGCTCTTTCAGAGAACCTAGGCTCTGTTCCCATCTCCCAAATGGCATCTCACAATTATCTTTCTGCAGTTCCAGCTCCAGGGACCCTGATGCCCTATTTAGGCCTCTCCCAGCATCACAGCATGTGGTGCATATATAGATATGAAAGCAAACAATCATACACGTAAAATATGAATTTTCAGAAAGAAAAACTCTCTTCACTAATGCAGTTTTTCAAAGCTAACAAAATTAAAGAAGACATAAGAAACACTAATGTAATGGAAAGGAGAACCAAGAAGATAACTAGATGTGATCAGTAAAACAAACCCTCACAATGATTCAACATGCTGGAACAAAAAAAAAAAAATCTGTAGGCTTTTCTTAAAGTTACTGGAAATATCTGTGGTGGTAGCGAATGACTTGTGCTATCTGACATAGCCCAATAGCATTGCCTCTAGATATCTTTTCGGCAGTCATGCTTATCCTGGCCACAGCAGCATTGATATGAATGCCTTACACTGATATTTTTTAGAAAGATTTTACTTATTAGATACTCAGTACTCTGCCTGCATGTAACCTTGAAGGCCAGAAGAGGGCACCAGATCTCATTATAGTTGGTTGTGAGCCACCATGTGGTTGTTGGGAATTGAACTCAGATCCTATGGAAGAGCAGTCAGTGCTCTTTTCCTTCGAGCCAGCTCTCTGTCCCCTCTTGGAGTGATTTTTATACAAGAATTTTGTGTAATCATTACTTCCCAGTCACACCTTCTGTAGATAGAACTCTCGTAGCGTGCTGGGAGGGGGACAGCAGACTGAAACAGAACAGGTATGACTACTCCTGCATATTCTGGGGGCTTTGCATTCTTTCTGACAGCATCCCTAAACTTGAGGATGCAGATTTACTGTACCAGTGAGTTCTAAGAAAGTTATTTCTAATTCCTGCCTATCGACTGTCCAGCTAGTTTTCTACTTGTGCTTTAGAAATACACACACACACACACACACACACACATACACACGCACACACATGTGTGCACACACAGATCACCCACACGCGCACACAGTCAAGCTGATGTGTAAAGAATGCAGCAGAGTCAGAATTCCCTGTGTCAAAGAGCGAGCATCATACTGGTGAGCTCGAGAGAGGAAGATGGCCTCAGAAAACTACCAATGAAGTGGCCTTTCTCTGATCTTCTTATAAATTGAGGCTCTTCTGTGGGAACCTCGTACCTAGAGTTGGGAAGAGAATGGGAAAGATGGTGCCTCAGACCTGTGAGGAGTCCCTAGTTCCGCCTTCTCCTCGGCCTCTCCCTTCACTACCACAAACTCTTCCCCACTCATGTCTTTGACCTCCTCATTGCTGCACTATTTTCGTTACTTTGTTCAGTGAACAATTATTTGATTTTTGCTAATTTTAAATGATCAACGTTGCAAAACCTCACAGATGTTGAGACAAAGAATAGTCTGTTTTCATGTTCAAAGCTATGCTACTTAAATGTAATGCTGGAAATGATTTTCTAAAGCAAAATTTAGTGAAAAGATTCCCTTCTATGGCATATTCTTGGGCCCAGGAACAAGAGTCTTTGTTAATTTAGGCTAGGTTTGAGAAAAAACAGAAATCTGCTCGGTTATTTTTAAATAAAAATGACTGAAACTCATTAAATAATGAAAATTTTGGTGCTGATCCAGGAATGTGCAGTTTATGTGGATGGGCTGGGATGTGGCTATTTAATTATCTGCCACTTAAGTTTGGAATGTCAGCCTGGCAGCTTAGCCTTAACCCCCAAAATCTGTGCAGTGTTTTAGCTAAATTCTCATAGAGCTACAGCCCAGTCTCACCTGCTGGAATCCAGTGCCCTAATTGATTGTAGGGTGTGAACAGAAAGAGGCGAAGGGCTAAATTGGAATGTGAGAAAAGTTGACTATTCGTTAAAATAATGAATTTTGGTACAATTAAATAACAGTATCCATAAAGATGTCTTCTAGATCCCTCGTTACAAGTCAGAAGGTAGAGTGAGACAGGCTGTTCTGTATCTGTTTGCCATCTGCTTTGGGGTAGGTGAGATGGTTTCATACATATGTTGCTGAAACTAACGCCTTATCAGTCTGTCCCAATATTCTCATGACACTTGTAAGACTTCAGAGAGAAACAACAGAAGAACAAGTCACGTCCCGTATGCCCTGCGACAAATGCAGTAGCTTCCCACATGCTTTTAAATAGTGTTTTTGTGTCA